TTATATAAAAGATATTTATAAATACATTACATAAATACTTAAGTTACCTATAATTTTATAACCTTTTCTGTAACTAATACTAAGAAAAACGTAAAATTTTACAAAATAAATATTAACGTTAAAATGTTAAAACAAATTACTCGGTTTAAATAAACAATTCACAAATTAACTAACTGAATTTTTATAATCTTTGCAATGAGGTACCGTAAAGTAAAAAAAAATATCAATTTTCGTTAATTAGAACCGAAGATATTGCGACTTTTATAAATCTAAATTTATGAGTTCAGTTTTTGAAATAGGAAAATCGAGAAATAAAAAATGGCTAACTCTGGTTCTTAGGGTCGTAAGACATTGTATTCTTTTTTTTACTTCCTGTAAAACTTGTCTACGCTTTTGTAATAAAATTGTGTTTTATCACAAAATTTATGAAAATCAATTGTTAAATACCTGTAGCAAAGAGTGTGACGAAAAAGGCGTTTTATTGGCTAACTTCTTTGGTCTATAAGTAGATAGGTATATCTCATAGCATTAATAAACTTTATTGTCCAAATGTTTCATGTTTCCTTAACGACCGATTTTACCAAGTGTACTAATTAGATTTGTGTGTTTTGTAACGATTTGAAAACTGTAAAACGAAATTGAAAACTGGATGGTAAATCTATCGGTTATAAGAGTTACACAAAAATACTACGAAGGAAACTAACTCTCAACGAATTAGTAGAATAGGAAGTCACTGATCACATATGATCAAATAATAACACTTGAAGATGAATAATACCTTAACTATATGAGAAGAAAGTAGCAAGACAAATATACATGGGTGGCCAAATTATTCGGAACACTACACATATTTTTTACTAAATCGTTTTTTTGATAAAAAAAATTGGAGTTCATATCTGTATTTTATTTGGTATATCCTCTGGTACGACTATTAAAATTATATATTTAACAAGGTAATAATATTTGTTATTAAGTTATTTAATGACACAATTTTATGTAAAAATTTGTTCAACGTCAAAATTACTTTTTTAGCATGGGCTAAATTGCAGACTTTCCAGGAAAAATTAGAGAAATAAAGAACTTATTACTAAACTCTACACTTTTAGAGAGAGTTATAGCAACTACTACAGGTGCTTTAAAGTCTACAGTTAATCGAATAGAAACAAAAATTGATTCAAATGGAACATAGGAACCGGCCCGTGTTGAAAAATGTGACAGGAAAAGTATCCCTACTCCTCATACTGATCGTAAAATCAGGTATATTTTTCTCGAAAATCGTAAAAAGAGTGTGTCACATCTAGCTACAATGATTACTAATGAAGGAATTAATGTTTCCAGAAGAATAGTCCGACGATAACTGGTCAAGGAGAATTTGCTAGGTCACCGGCCTAAAAAATACCACGACTCACCGAAGTCATGAAGAGAAAGAGACTCCAATGGACCAAACAACACCGAAATAAGTACAACTTTTTTAACGAATGTAGTTCGTGAATAGCGAATATTATCATTTTTACAGGTATACTTCTCCCACGAATCAACATTCCAGATTTTGGTGAACAAAAGTGTGTTCGTCAGACGACGTCCTGGGAAGCAGTCCCGTCCAGATTGTATTATGGAGCGGGTTAATCATCCGGTTAGTGTTATGTTGTCGTCTGTAATCTCGGCCAAGGGTATGAGACGCTTATACATCGTCGAGGGTACAATGAGACAGGACCACTATAAGCGAGTACTTAAAACTCGACCACTGCCTTAGCTCAAAGAATGGATTCCTGGTGAAACAAATTACATTTTCATGCACGATTCTGCACCGTGCCACAAAGCTGGGAGTGCATGCACAAACTGCATTCCTGATCGAAGAAAATATTACAGTTTGGTCGTGACCTAGAAACTCCCCTGACATGAACCCCATAAGAGCCTGTGGGAGTCAATCAAAAGGACGATCGCCAAAGATGTTACCACCGCAAAGCGGCACTTGATTGAAATCCTTATTAAAGAATGACATCATAACCCAAATTTAAAAAATAATCCAGAAGCTTGTATTCAGAGCAAGCTCCGACGCATAGAAACTGTAATTGATATCACACTCTCTTATAAAAAAAATTAAGTGAAAACCCTAAAGCCAACTAATTGCTAAAAAAATTCAGTTAAACTAGAAAATTAAGAAATCATTTAACTCTCGCTAATAATTTGGCCACCCACTGCCCTACTGTAAAATAGGGAGCCTAAAAATCAGCATGGTAAAAATTTAATTTTAGGATATTAATTTTGATTCTTAACTTTATAATAATATGGTGCCATTATTCCGTCGCAGTACAAAATGCAACTGTTTCTATTTTATTGTGTATCATTATGATGAGATACTCTCAAAGTTAGCTTGTCGGAATGTTGTTGAGTGTCGATAATCTTTGATTGATTGATTAATATATTACCTAATTTGAATGTATCACTTTCAATTTCGACACAAAATCCATTAAGATTTAAGTCAGACATGCGACATCGATACCACAACAAAGCCACCAACATTTTTATCAAAAGTTTATTGTTTGTTCAAAAGTCTTTTCGGTTGTAATTTATAGCCATTGTCTTATATTAATATTAATAAAGCAGAATACAACTCGCCCTGTGACAGTATTCACGTACTCGAACATTGTCTTCCAAAAAGAAACTACGGTAGTGACTCATCTCTCGCGTTTTTATTCATACAGGGTCTAGGTTAATTGACGGAATTAGCATTAGTCATGGAATTGAGAAGAGAAATTTCATTGAATATGTAATCAAACTATCTTTTAATTCAAGGATAGGAAGTGTGTACATACGACAGTTTTAATTATGTGTAGTTTACGTCATAATACTGGACGGTTGCACATCTCGTCACGTATGAATTTTACTACAGTCTCTACTAATTTATTCGTATATAAACTTATTTCCTCATGTTTCTATATGCCCCTAGATTGAGACTGGCTGAATGACAAATGTCCAAGCCAAAACACAAAAAAATGATGCAGATAATAACGCAATTCATACTGTTTACACCATTACACTAAAATAATCTATACAATTATTTTATTTATCACCCATATTATACATTATTAATATCTCGACGTTACATCTTATTTATTTCTTATTAATGACAAATGAAATAAATCAATTTCTATTTTTAGAACTTTTTGCAGACATTTACCTAATATTGTATCTATTTAAGGGGTTGGATTTCATGGGAATATCAAGAAGGGAGAAACGATTTTGTAAGGCGATATTTGAGAAGAAACCTTAAAGTTCGACCTTCCTTTTTATGTCTATATGTAGAGCTTAATTTAAATTAGAGAGGAAGTTGGCCAAAACATTTTTTTCTTTATTGTTGCTGGCGATATGCTACAACTCAGGTGGTTGAATACTGAGATGACCGAAAAAATTGCAGTCTGAAATCAATCAAGTATATAAGATATAGATACCAACGATGAAACGGATACATTGTTTAAGCGGGTTATAGGTAAAAATGATCCTTCTTGTTAGTGCGCTGGAAAAAGTGGGTGATAATAATAAATACAAGTTGAGTTTACTAATTTATTTATTGCTATTGCTAACTTTTGATTAATTTATTTAAATAATATTGATAAATGTTATTTTTATACAAGGTGATCAACTTTTGTGACAAAATCCGTTATATCTGGTATTATAGAAGATACCAAAATGGAATATGGTAGGAATGGAAAAATAGGAAGTAGCTGTAAGCTTCATATTTTAAAATTAGGCACAAATATACAGGGTCTTCCATAATACTGTACCGCGTCACAGTTAGTCTTTTTTAAATATCGTATTTTATTTTAAATTTTAAATTCGCTTCACTTTCTATATTCTCCGCTGTTCGCTACAAGAAATAATAGCTAACGTTAGTGTGAGTGAATAATAAAAGTAGAATATAATGCCATATCTCGCAAAACAGGAAAACAAAAACAAAAATAGGTACATCGATGGAAGACAACCATAACTACGTATTTCTGACTATTTGGTCGCCATTAGTACGGTGCAGCCAAGTTAGAAAAGGAGCATCTTAACTTGAGGAAGAATCACTACAGGAGCAATGCGACCAATTTGTGGAATTAGAGTTTAATCATAACATAACATAATCTTAACATAAACTTAATCATAACAACAATAGGAGATACCAGACTGTCTCCTCAAGACACATCCCACATATTTCGAAGTGTAATAAGTTAAAGATCGATAGACAATATTGTAACGGAAATGAACGTTCAGTATACGCCTTTCTAAAAACAATCCTTGCACAGGTATGTAGCAGTATTTATATTCTCTCTCAAACGATGCATAAGTAATGATGGGAATATTTGCAACATACGTGATAGAATTTTTAGTCACGATCAGACATATACAAAGAATGGATAAACAACGACACAAAACGATAGGTGCTACGTAAAAGAGAAAACGTGGCAGATAGTGCACAAGTTGGAAAGAACGGCTACACAAAGTGTTAAGAGAAACAAACACAGAAGAGGACTACGGAAGTCGAAAAACTGCGGAGAACGTTATAAACCGACATGTATTTGTTAAGTTTCATTTCTTGGTAATTATTGGAATTGGTAATAATTTGGTAACAAAGTCATTGCAGATGATTACTAGCGCTACTACATAGCATCAAATATTTCTGCTATGCAGTCTGCATTTAATATTAGCTATTTTTTTGATGACGATGTTTAAAAAAATATTTACATCGGAATTTTTAATTACGTATAGTTAAGACAGTAGTTCACTGTTAATATTATTGCCGTTTGCAAAAACTACGAGCCTAAGTATTCCTGATTGTAATAAATAACAGGATAATATAATACGATTTGCAATAAAATTTCTAATTTCTAACGCCATCCTGTTAAAAGTTCAAATAGCTTATTTTCTAGCCACAACGTTGGATATAAATTGTTTGTGCTCAGTTTCCTAAGCATAAGTAATAAGAAAAGGACAAAGAATCTAGAAAAGTCTCTAACCTGAGGATTCCTGTTTATAAGAATTCAGCGACCCATCTGCAGTCTGTGCGAGGCGAACACTTTTATTTTTGTACATTTCCAGATCCCTTAAATGTGAAAACGATGTGGTTTCCAAAAATTGTCTCTGTCCTAAACCTACTGTTCTATAAGACTGATGTTGTATAC